CAATCAGCTTGTAACACTCCAAAGAGAAAGGAAAACTTGAAATCGCATCATATGACCCCTTTAAATCGGATTGCGTGGTTTTCGAGTGAACTAACTGACTCATTTTGGAACATGTCCGATTCGTAATGAACCGAGAACTGATAAATGAGCGGATAATAGCCCTTTGTCATCAAAATGTTTCTGAAAAAACTATACTTATTTTTATTAGATTTTTTGATACATTTTAGAGGTGTATTAACATGTATGACCTTAATGTCTATCAGTCACTCCTCTCTTCCTTCTCCGCTAATGTCTCCACTGCTAAAAGGACATACTATCATAACAAAATTGACAATTCGTGTAACTCTCGCATGCTCTTTAAAACATGCTCACCAGCAATTTGTCCTCCTCCTTCGTTTCACATCCTTCTCTCCACTCTCTGAGGCAGAAGTCTCTAAACTCATCCTTTCCAATCATCCTACTACTTGTCCGCTTGATCCTATTCCATCTCATCTCCTTCAAGCCATTTCTCCTGCCGTTGTACCTGCACTCACTCACATCGTTAACACATCCCTTCACACTGGTGTTTTTCCCTCAACATTTAAACAGGCTCGTATAACCCCACTTCTTAAGAAACCCACTCTTAACCCAACTCTTTTAGAGAACTACAGGCCGGTTTCCCTTCTACCTTTCATTGCAAAAACACTTGAACGAGTTGTGTTCAACCAAGTCTCAGCCTTTCTCACACAGAACAACCTCCTGGACAGCAACCAGTCTGGCTTCAGAAGTGGACATTCGACCGAGACTGCCTTGCTTTCAGTTGTTGAAGCCCTAAGACTGGCAAGAGCGGCTTCCAAATCTTCTGTACTTATTTTGCTGGATCTGTCTGCTGCTTTTGATACGGTGAACCACCAGATTCTCCTGTCAACCCTATTGGAAAATGGCATCTCAGGAACTGCACTCCAGTGGTTTGAGTCTTACCTCTCAGATAGGTCCTTCAAGGTATTTTGGAGAGGTGAGGTGTCCAAGTCGCAACATCTAGCTACTGGGGTGCCTCAGGGCTCAGTTCTTGGACCACTTCTCTTCTCTGTCTACATGGCATCATTAGGTTCTGTCATTCAGAAACATGGCTTTTCATATCACTGGTATGCTGATGACACTCAACTCTACCTCTCATTCCATCCTGATGATCCGACGATAGCTGCTCGCATCTCAGCTTGTCTAACAGACATTTCTTCCTGGATGAAGGACCATCACCTTCAATTCAACCTTGCCAGGACAGAACTGCTTGTGGTTCCATCAAACCCATCATTTCATCTCAATTTCACCATCCAGATAAGCACATCAACCATAACTCCTTCAAAAACAGCCAGAAACCTTGGCGTTATGACTGATGATCAGCTGACTTTCTCAGACCACATTGCTACCATCAAGAAGATCAGGCCCTTTCTTTCGGAACATGCTTCACAACTCCTTGTTCAAGCTCTTGTTCTGTCCAGGCTGGACTATTGCAATGCTCTCTTGGCAGGGCTTCCAGCCAGTACTATCAAACCTATAATTAAATTACTTTTTAAACCGTTTAACTGATTGTATTAATCGGTCAAAATTCTTTACGGTCGGTTAACCGGTTAAACGGTTAAAATGAACATCCCTAATCCCTTCACACTGGTGTTTTTCCCTCAAAGGCTCGTATAACCCCTCTACTTAAGAAACCCACCCTTAACCCATCTCATTTTAGAGAACTACAGACCTTTTACAGACCTACAGTCCTTTCATTGCAAAAACACTTGAACGAGCTGTGTTCAACCAAGTCTCTGCCTTTCTCACACAGAACAACCTCCTCGACAGCAAC